CATTGCATGACCGTTCTTTGGCAGGAAACATGATGTAGCCCCAGTGTCTTCAATTGTTCACAGCAGTGTAGTCAGCCAGTGAATGTTCACCTGCTTAACCCGAAGTCATCGCTCATGAGGTTCTGTCAGTGGTATAGTAGTAGCAGCCCACACAGACTCTCTCAAGCTGCCGTGTTTGTGCGAGAGAGATTGTTGCATCATGGGGGAAGCAGGCAAAAAGGTTAACAGTTTTGAAGAATGATTTTGGGTGTAAACCGCAAAGCTTGCCCGTAATGACTTTCCCTTCTCTGGTGCAGCGAGCACCTGCTGTCTGGCCTCGAGATAGTTTCCACTCCACACATTTTGCGATGGTGACAAAGGTAAACTGTGCACTGTGAGAAAGAAACAGTACCACGTCTTCACACTCTTATGCTTTCCAGCACATCTGGAGGTCTGGAAATGGGAGGCGCATGTTAGTTCTTAAACATGTGGTCAAATGCACTTAAGCTGCACTCTTGACGGACAGAGCATAGATTACTAGCTAGAGATCACACCGTAGGATTTTTGGTTGGGACGTTTCCCACTTTGATTCACATCTTACATCTTGTCTTTAACAGTTTGTGTAGATCAGGGTGGCCAAATCCTGCTCCTGGAGGCCCACCTTCTTGCAGAGTTTAGACTAAACTTGCTCCAGCAAGTTTCTGGTAATCCTGAAGACCTTGATTAATTGGTTCAGGTGTGTTTAATTGGGGTTGCAGGAGCAGGACTTGACCCCTCTAGTGTACAAGAAGCTTATTTATCATGGTAGGACACAAGATCTTTCCAATAACTCTAACTGAGCATTATATTATAGTGTACATTTCGCTTCCAGATAATCAACAATGTTTTTGTCTCTTTCTGGCTGCCTTGCAGAAGAAGCTGACAGCAGAGTGTGTTTTCCGTGAGCAATTTGAGGAGAACTGGTACAACACGTATGCATCCACACTCTACAAGCATGCGGACACTGGAAGATACTATTACATGGCCCTGAACAAGGACGGCTCGCCTCGAGAAGGAAGCAGGACTAAAAAGCATCAGAAGTTGACTCACTTCCTGCCCAGACCTGTCGAGATTGAGAAGATACCCCAAGCTTACAGAGACTTGTTCCAGCATAGGTGACCAGAGCATCTGTCAGAGTTGCTGTGTTGGAGAGGCGCAGTTGAGGTGCTGGATGGGAAAGACGGACGCTGAAGAACATTAAGAAATACAAGACCCTACTTCTCTCGCCTCGCAGCTGTTTATATTTGGGTTCTGGTCCAAAATGAGGAGGCCCTCTCCAATGGTGATTGAGATAAACAGTACGTGTGTGTCCTGGATGGCTCCGTTTCCTCTCCTTAATGGGTTTTAAACCACAGAGAAGAGGGAACATTCCTGCATCCAAAGCTGGTGCCAAAAGATGTCTTGAGGAAGAGGTGTTGACTTCAGGGCCTCATGACTTGTGTCATGCAATCACCCTTTCTTCAGACACTTTTTGTTAAGTGGACCACATTTTGGGCATGTTCTCACTGGAAAAAATAGGGTCTAAACCTACATTTATTGAGTAACTTGTCACCTGAGCATAGGTGGTAGTAAAACTGCCTTTGACCATTGAGATAAAACTCAACATGCCCAGTCTGGTGACCCTGGGGCCAAACTTTAGTTGAAAGGTAATGATGCAGCACTTACCAAGAAGATGGACATGGAGAGTAATCGCCGACCTTCCTGTAGGACAAATGCAAAGCAAGAGCTTTTCAAATTAAATATACCTGTAAGGGCACTTAAAAGGAGAAAGATGCTTTGAAGAACTATGACCAGCTTCTACTGAAACAATACCAATTTTGAATGGAAAAATTACCAATTGTGAGATGGAAAATAAGTAATAAGTAAAGAGGGGCTTACACAGATGATCTTCTGTATGTCTTCTGTCTGCTTCTTTTGAAGCTTCAGAAGAGTTTAAACCTTACAAATTTGGTAGAAAAAGCAAATCAGCAGTAGCAAAGTGATTAGTAGAAATGAATCACTTTCAAGCAGGGGAAATGAATGATGATTGCTGAAGTGTTCAGTAGAGGCTTTGGTCATTTGACTAAGAGTGACTTCAGGTTGTCAGGAACATTATTAAAATGTAAGTGAAAGACATGTAAATATGGGCAAACCTATTTATAAGATGTACTATATATTTATTTTCTACATATAAAGAATAATTATAAATCTCTATATAAATATATTTATTTATTTCAAAGGCTCTATTTTGTAATGAACTTGAAGTTTTTGGAATTGTAGATTCTACTGAGATTATTCAGAAGGGCTAATCCATTTGACCTGAATGACTGACAATAAAATTGTCCTGCTATTGTTTATTGTTGGTGACCATATTTGCAAGGATACCCTGTACCAATTAAAATCTGAGAAACACTGAGCTGATTGAGTTTGACTGCACACACAACTTTTCAGGTACTGTCATGGACTGAATGGTCGTCTTTGCTAAACAACACAGAAACACAAAATGCTGAAAGCTGTGAGAGCGCTAGCTATTTAAGTCAACATGATATGGCAGTTGCAAACCATTGTACTTCTATCTATAAGCTACTGTATTTGCAAGTAAAACAGTATTCATATAACAGTAATGTGGCCCTTGTTCAGAGGCAGAGCAAGTTATTACGTGTTGATGATTGATTACAAAAACAAACATTTTCTTCTTTGGAATAGTCGAGTCAAAGAACGTAGAGTGAATTTTGACTTCATGTCGTCTTCAAAGTAGGACACATTTGATACCTCTTTCAGAAAATCTTCAGTAAGGGGTCAATCAATCTATGAAATGTTGTTTATCTAGTACAGCGTAAATTCCAGAACATCACAGCAGCATTCACAGAATAATCCAGCTCTCCAGAGATGTGGATGTTAGCTGATGATGTAAAAAGACAGCTCTTGGCTCGGGGAACCTGTGGGAAAGTTCTCCCCAAGCAGTCTGTAGAGGCATAAATCAACGCCCTGCAGAAACTGAAACAATACAAGAGAACATGTTGCGCTAGTGGGTGTCAAACCTGTTGAAAAGTCTGCAGCATAGCAACATTAATTACCTCTATAATAGTGATAACATACGTAGAACTATTATTAATGAGTTTTTTTGTGAATCGGATGCATTGTAAATCACATCAACACAAAACTCCCTTGGTGATTGAATGAAGATTTGGACCAGCACTGATGTTGCCCTGAGTGGACTTCTATAAGGTTTCAGTCAACTTGCATCATCAAAAACGAACAAAACAATTCAGATTTACAAACATTCACAACCCCACCCACCACCGATGCCTTGACAACATGCTTGGCTCGTTCCTGCTCGGATGATCAATAGTTAGCTTTGCAGCCAGCACGCTCGAATACTTTCAGATACGAAGTGTATAGTGCATGTTCATGTGAACGGAAGCAGGTTTTAACATTGGAGGATAGATGGGGCAACAGCTGCCCGGTGCTGCAAAGCTAGCCGAGTGGTAATCTGGGCATACCAAGGATGGGATCAACATTTCAACATCTGCAATAGTTGTAATGTTTCACTTTTGGCAGCTTTCTGCAAGCTGTGAACGCAAGCTCCCCCCTGGGGGGGGGGATGTGGGCTTGAGGGGGCGAATGGAAAAGAGGGGGAGAAAAACCCTGGCAGCTAAAGAAATGAAAATAATAGCAAGCAGTAGAAACGACACAGCAGATGAAAGACTGAAGGGGAAGAATGGGGTGTATGGGAGGAGACAGATTCTCAGGGTGTAAAAGCTAAGAGCTGTCTAGAGAAAACACATCTGAAATTTGGTATTGGTGTCATGGAACTCATATATACGCTCTCATTCCTTTACTTAAACTTACCGAAAATGAGTAACCGTTTAAGTAGTCACTAATACTCCAACTCCACAACTTCCTAGTATCGGCTAAAATCAGGGGCACAAGTTTCTCTTGTCTTATGGTGACCTCATCTGACTGTCCACTGCACTGCTGCATCATGGGAAGGGAGTGGCACATTTTAACATGCATAAGAAACAACTAGCCAGTATGCATCTGTCCCAAAAGTAGTAAGTAAAACCACTGTCTACAGTTCAAGGTTGCCAACATATAGTTAGGTACTGTATGTGTGTAAAGTTTAAATAAAGAGGGGGGGGGGGGATTACTCAAACAATATATGCCTTCTGACTCGTAAGTCAATTTCATACGAGTTCACATATAGCATGCAAACTTGAAGTATCACCCAAGATCCCGATTTATTTAAGAACCCATGACAGTTGCTACTATAAGTAATGCATCTTCGCAGAACTCTAGACAACTCAAGGAAATTATAGACGATTCTCAAAATGTATGAAACTGAAGGTAATGTAACAAATATAAGCGTTCATATAAAAGTTAAAAATGTTAAAGTATTTAAGAATTCCCATGACTATTCCACTACTATGGTTCAGTGTATACATTTGCAGTTGCAAAGGGCAATTTCTTCTTGACAAAATATCTTAAAACTAAGCATAAATAGAATAATTTATATTCAACCTTTAAAAAAAAAATCATGAAAATGTCAGAATTTGTTAATTCCCATTGTTTTTGAGCATTTTGCAAATGGATTTGTACATATAATATTTGCCAGTAGTTCTGCAGAAATTGCACAACTGACATTGCACAAAAAAACAAACAAGACCTGCATGTAACTCATCCTTTTGGTCACTTTATTTAAATGTGATATTAAATACCAAGTAGCACATCATATTAATGGCAGACGTTGTTGGTGTATATGCTTACATTAGAACCTTTTCAGGAGGGGAAAAGCTTCCTCTACATTTCTGAATGACACCCTGTGGATGTCAAAGGTCTTATGTTCGCCAATGAAAAACTAGTTTAGCATCCGAAGTGGAGATGTGCCCAAGAACAGAATACAGCCTGAGCACCACTAACCTGATAAGGAAAGTGTTAGCATTATTATATAATCAGAATAGGTTTGAAGTTCAGTTAAACCACACAAACATGTATCTAGCTCCCGCCACACGCCAACTCAGGCGCAATCCCAATGCAAGTGGGGAAAATAAACAGAAAAAGAAATGATGAACAGTACTCACAACAATGTGCTAGGCAACACTACAACAAGAAGTCTGATGTTACAAAAGTCCGGAGGAAATCAGCAAGCAGTTTTAACAACACAGACATTCCATAGCATGATAAGCAACAACGAGTTTAAATACCTAAAAGCAGATTAGAAAAAGGGGTTTTAAAACATTAGAAGAGATCTAGCTGCTTGATATAAGGCCATTTGACTTGACGATACATTTAAGGTGTCCGCTGCAGTGTCTCTGGAGCACTGGCTAGAGTACTGGCAAAGTACCAATGACAATCCACTACTAGGAAGATATTAGCGCAGATAGTATTTACGGGGGCTTTAGAACAAAAACGCTATGGTCCCTCCTCAATCACGCTGTTTTCATTGCAATATAATTATTTATATATGCACGTCCCTTATTTAAGGGGAAAGAAACCTGCAATGCCTAAAAGCATTTGGGGATAATATCTTCTTCAATCTTAAATACGTGAGAGAGGGGGAAAAAAAGAACTTGAACTACATTAAGGCTATATACACACAAAATGACAAACTGCACTGCCAAAAACCCCTTTAACAAAGTCCCAGGATCCCCTCTCATTACTGAGGAGCTCAAGTAGGTGTCCTGGCTGTATCAGTCCAGCTGTGTGTACACTGAGGGGCGGAGGCATCTACAGGCCCTTAGACGGGCCCGGGTTCTTGCCCAGCTGTGCGGAAGGGACGCCCTGGAGCGCCCCGAGCTGCTGGTACAACCCCAGCAGATCCATCTGATTCATAGGGGCCCCAAGACCGTTCTGCATGGCCAGCTGATTGAGCAGCAGACCCTGCCTCGCCATGGCCAGCTGCTGCTCCTGCAACTTACGGTTGGCGATCACCTTCTGCACGTACATCATCAGCTGGAAAGGAAATGGAGATCGGATGTTATTCGTCCGTTATGTGGCTTCAGAAAGTAGTCTCTGCAGCCCCTCTCCAACAGAAACGGTGCTTTTGAGCTGAACCGTGACTGTGTTACTACATTACCCATCCACAAAACACAACATTCTTGATTACATTTGAGTACATATTTTAACATCCAATATCTTTATGAAATCACAAGCCTAAAATCACATTTGGATGAAGTCACAAATTAATTAAATAATAACCATAAAACAAAATTATAGCAAACACAAATTAAGAGTTCGACGGACATTGGATTTTGCTGATGATTTAAAAACCCAATACAAAGATTATACTGCTATTACTAGTATATTGAATATAATATTGTATTTTTAAATGCCAGTTGCAGTTTATTGTATTATTGTAAAATATGCACTCCTACAACTACCTATAACATATTACAATATAAAATCCATGAAGCAAACATGTCATAATTCATCAGCAGTAGATCATAAGAAATCGTTTGGTATTCGGCTGCTCTGAAACAGAGTCTGTAGAATGTGAAACAGTGCTGCATTTTTACATTGAAACATGCAGCACTCACATTTATCAGCCTTTTCAAGTTTAATAACAACATTAGGCCTTATTGCAACTGCTGTTTTTTTGTCCCTAAATTTAAGACCTCTTAAAATGATAAGTAATGTTCATTTCGTTGACGAATAATTTTCATCAACAACAGTTTTTTCACTGACAACAACGAGAAGATAACGAACTAAAACTCTTCTTGAATGACAAAAACTATGACATAAATCTATTGACATTTTCGGCAACGAATAAAAACGAGACGAAAATGTTAGAGAGGGACGATTTGGGAAGAGATTCATTCAGAACGAATCTGCTGTGTGGTTCGGAGGTTAGATGCATACATATGAACCGGCGGGACATAAGCTAACATACACTTGCCGCACGTCGCATAAAACGTTCAAAAATGTCAATATGGGGGAGTAAGAGAAGAGCAGACATATGGATAAATCTGACGACGCAAGAGATAACTCAATTTGGTCCGGTTTTCAGAGCGCAGACACTGAAGCATACACACACAGAAAGCGCCTCTCACGGCGCGCGAGTACTCTTAAGCGTCGCATGAACGGAGAATTACACACAAAATGATGTCGAATTGTCCGTTTTGACGAGTATTCACGTAAACACAGTTGATTATGTCTTAAGTGAACGTAAACAGTAGGGAGGCCGTGTATCAGTACATTGCATCCATTGCAGCTGTGCATCCGGTTTTAAAGGGACAGCAGCCTAATTTAGTCTGAATCATTGATGTTAATCAAGCAACAAAAGACAGGAAATCACTCTTCAATCGCTCTTGACTGAAAAACTTTAGTAGCCCTAAATATTAATCATTTATTTGTAGAAATAAATATGTCTGCTTGAAAGAATGAAGAATATGGCAAACAAGTTGCTATAAAGAATGCATAATTAGCCTTAGGGCTGGACAATAATTCAATATCAATATGTATCGCGATTTAATTTTTTTCAATAACGGTGATATGATTTTTAAACACATTTCCGATATACATTACCAGTGTTTCCCATACATTGATTTATTTGTGGCGTTTGACTTCGTTGAATAAACATGAGCACTGCACGTTTCAAAATCAAAACGCGTCGCGGGTGTTTTATATGAATGTATCTCTGAAGGGAACCGACTGTCTTCAGAATAGTTTAGATGGCATTTTTATCTGATAAAGTAGCGTTCCCGAGCGGAGCTGCTTTGTTTACAGCCATTACTGGAGAAACCGCTAGTTCCACCGCTCTCACAGCGCCTCCTGCTGGCAGACAATCAGTTTGCATTTTCAAGAATAAACCCATTTCCAGCAACATGCTTTTGTTGTTGCTCTATTTTTTTGTTTTCTGAAGCAACTCGGAGCATGTTTCATACTCGTTATCCTGGTTAATGCACATTTCAATCTATAAGAATAATCAGCCTACACTACCAGTCAAAGGTTTTTGAACGGCAAGATTTTTTATGTTTCTTAAAGAATTCTCTTCTGCTCACCAAGCCTGCATTTATTTGATCCAAAATGCACCAAAAGCAGTAACATTTTGAAATATTTTTACTATCTAAAATTACTGCTTTCCATTTGAATATATTTTAAAATGTAATTTATTCATGTGATCAAAGCTAAATTTTCAGCATCATTAGGCCTACTCCAGTCTTCAGTGTCACATGATCCTTCAGCAATCATTTTAATATGCTGATTATCAATATTTAAAACAGTTGAGTAAATTTTTTCAGGATTCTTTGATGAATAGAAAGATCCAAAGATCAGCATTTATCTGAAATAAAAAGCTTTTGTAACATTATACACTTATGTTAGCCTATAGTTTGAAGTAAAAAAATATTATTATTAATATTAATAAGGAGAGTCTGAGATTTATTTGACAGTGATTTCACATTTCTTGTTTGTATGAAGGCTAAATACCAATAAAAGGTGAACATTTATTTATTTTTCCTAAAATATTATATAGTTTTATAGGAGTAGGTTTCATAGAGTTGGCAAATAAATTTTTCAAAAGTTTGTAGGTACAGACATCTGTTGTGGCCGTTCTTGGCCGTTTTTATGAGGCTTTTTTAATAGTGTTCATATCGATATCGGAATTATATCGTATCGACCGAAATTAAGAAATATATCGTGATATAAATTTTGGCCATATCGTCCAGCCCTAATTAGCCTATATAACCATTGGTATTTCATTAATAAGAAGACCATGTTCTTGTTCACACAAGGCATGTTGTGTGTCACCGCAGTTAAATCTATATAATGAGTGTGGACATTTTACAAAAATGCATAATAAATGCTCTGTAACTAAACCCATTAGATTTTAGCAGACTTACCTACTTAGTTTGTAACTAAACCCATTAGATTTTAGCAGACTTACCTACTTACTGTAGGTTTAGTCGACTAAAATCTTATGATATTTAGTCGATTTAGTAAAAAGACTACGACTAAAGCGATCACAATTTGCTGTCAAAATGAACACTGGATAATTAAGATTTGTTATACCATTTAAGATATTTATAGCCTTAAATTTGACCCTGAATTAATTCACACATCACATTTAACTATTTTTGACAAATGTAGAATAAAAGGGGTGCAACAGGGTACCAGATGTAAAAATCCCTTTCAATCTATTTAGTTTAAAATGTTAACGTCACTTAAACACAGGTAGAACATAAGACAACACAGAAATAGTGAGAGATGAGCAAACATACAGTTTGTTGCTTGCCGAGGACATCACGGTAAACATCCTCCCTGTGTTTGATTTCCAGCTCGTAGCCGGCCTGCCTCCCAAGAGCCATGGATTGAACCTGGGCCTCGGGTAAACTCGGATTCTCCTTCCACTGCCAAAAACAACACACCTGTTACATCCTGTAGACCTCAACAAACAAACACTTACACGATCATCACACACACACAAACACATTTAGCAGTTGTTCAGAACGTAGTCTAACATCTCAAGCTTAATACTGACGACACAGCAAACTATAGGCAAAAGTGTAGGCTTTGTCCCTAAAAGCTCGCGCCATGAGACTAGGATATAGTAGCTCGTTGTAGGGCTGCACGATTATGACAAAAATCACAATTGTCGATTATTCCTTTGAAATTGTAATTGCGATTATTAATTACGATTAAATGAATGATGTTTACACCTTTGTTTGAAGCAACTGCATTCCATATTTTTATGAAAATAAACTAGCTGAAAACACTAACTGAAAAACTTTGATTGCTTTTCTATAGTATTAAGCCTCAAATGTCAACTATACATCGGATTGGTTTCTCTTTAAATAAAAATTTAAAAATATGAAAGGTATTATAATGTTATACTAAAACTCAAATTAAAACAATGGAATAACCCTTAAGATAACATGTAGAAAGTAAAAAAGCATCTTAAGCACGCAGAATAACATAAGTGGACTTTGAATGATTATTTAATTGCTTTGAACGATTATGTAATTGTGGCATCCGTAATTGTAATTGCGATTAGAAATGAGATTAATTGTGCAGCCCTAGCTCGTTGTTATGCAGGTGTTTTAAGTGGTTGTAAAGTCAACAGAGCCCATCTCTCCAAGTCTCTATAATGTTCTGTCCTTCAAATATGACTCAGGCTCATCCTTCAATGTAGGTCTATAGATTTTTTGGTCATTTTATCACCCATCCAGAGTTGCACGCATGCCTGTAGCACAAAGCTATGCATCAAAGCATTGATTGGGGTAAGTACTAACAACTTGGCAAACACCAACAGCAGAGCGAATTTTCAGTCTTGTCAGTGAAGGTGGGCTGTGCATCAGTTACTGGTCATGACGGCTCATAGACTGGACCTGGAGCATTAAGGCCCTGATAAACAAACTAGTGTGATGTCATTTTGAACACAATCAGGTCAAAACGAAGTTCATTTGGAGTTTCCGGAAGTGTTCGCTCCAGCTGTTAAACCCCTTCTTTTTACCACTGGTCCATGGTAAATACGCATTCACAGGTAGATGTGGAATTCTTTGACTGGGAAAACATCTGCGTTTCATTTCTTCTGTTCAGTCCGGCGAGGTCAGACATGAACACACTGGAGAACTGCTCTATAGCATTAACTCGAGCTGTAACTCTAACTGAAAGCAACACTGGTGCTTTTTTCTCATGTTTAATACTGTAAAGCTGCTTGCTTTAAAGCAACCTATTGCATAAAGTGCTATATAAATAAACATGACATGACCTGACTGGAGTGCTGCATTGCAGAGCTGTGCAAACATGTCCACATTGCTACGATCAGATGCTTTTTTAACTGCCGTTTTCTCACTGCTGTCGATTTGTTGAGTGTTTATTTTGTTACAGCGAGGAAAGCACGCAACACATATTTACGTATGTATCTCAACCTGGTGGTTTCGGGATGTTCACTAACAGTAAATTGGTATTTCAAACTTCCTTTTTACCCCTAGGCGAAGAACGAAAAACAACTGTGCTGTGAGTATATCGGGGGCTTTATGCGCAGCCTTTCCGACGTAAGCCTCTCTGTAGGGAATCTCCCTCTCTCCCGTCACTCACCACTTGTGCGATGATGTCCTCCATTGGTTCCCTGGGCACTGACTTCAGAGCGTTAGCGGCTTCCATCACTTTCTGCCTGCCCTGGTAAATCAAATCCTTGAACACAGAGAGAAAGAATAAAGTGTGAGAAGAAACACTGAAAATACTAGACGAGATGAAAACAAACCTCTGAATTTGATATTTTCACAGAAATAACTAGCATTCGTAAACGGCAGCTGGCAGAGCACAAGCCAAATGTCGGTGCTTGAGAACGCATGTCACAATTAGCTGCCGGCTGAAGGAATGTGAAAAGAGCACGTGGAGCTCATTACTTACCTCTAACTGTTGGTTGCTCATGGAGGCCAAGGCAGCCATGTTGAAGGGGAAGTAAGAGTTTGCTCCTGCTCCCACGGCCATTTGAGAGTAGGACGGCTGGTTGAAATGCATGGACAGACCCTGAAACAATAGGAGAGAGGGTCCATCAGTCAAAAACAAACAGAGAAGCTTCATTTTATGAGATGAGGTCACACAGAAAAATCACAATTATAAATAATCTTCAAATCAGGTTCGGCCTGACAGATGAGTCAGCCTTCCATCACACTAGCACTTGCTGGAGGGTAATCAAAGCATTGTTTTTTTGGACTTAATTTCCCACTTGATTTGCGACTTTGCCATGATTTGTCTGCGAACTTGCAAAGACGCACGGCGAACGATAATTCCCAGCCAACAGATCACTGGAGGATCCAAAAAATCCTGATGTGCACCCATGTGAACCTCTGTTAGGGTCCTGCTCAAGCTGTGTTTGTCTTACGGCTCTAAACAGAACGTTCCCCTGCTGAAGGTCAGCAGGACGGCTGTGTTTGTGTAAATGAGCTACCGAGGCAGATGCAGCCAATCCCCTAATTGGGTCTTTGGTGCACGCAGCTCGTAAACACACTCCACAGCTGAGTGTCCGGTGTTCAGACCTGGCACGAGCAGGTGTGCGGCACAGATGGCGGCGTGGATCACAGCTGTGCCGCAGACCGCGGGACAATCTAAATGGGCGCTCTTTTAGGCTGGTTTCAAAATGTGATGCTCACAGTATGGCAGCTTTCAACTATCTCAGAACTCGATAGGGTTCTCTAATCACTGCAAGTGACTGCTTAAAATCCACTTTAATGGCTCTGGCAGAGTTAATGATTTTAAGCAATCACATTACACAAAACTCTTCAATCTCAGCATACACAAATAACTGTAGCGAGATGATCAAAAGCAGGTGATTTCTTTTCGTTGCATATAATAGCTATGGCCAAGTGATTCACTGATGAAATTACTTTGATTTACGCATAATATTTAAAACGTCTTGCCAAAAAATAACATGAAATTTAGGAGGCAGATTACATGTAGTGCAGAATCTGTGCCAATGTGGTATGAATTACACACACGCACACAAATCCAAAGACAGTCTGCACTGTCTCAATGCTCCCAGCCGGTATAACCAACTCCTGCCTACAAATACAGCTCCTGCATTGGGCACTAAAGTTATAGTGATGTTTTCCATGCTCCATGTGGTGCAACATGAGCAACGTTCACTTATTTCAGTTATTTTTACTGATGACGTATTCAAGGAAAGGAGTCTGTGCTTTCTATAATTGTAGGTCTATTTGCAGATGGACATGCTTTGCAATTACATTGCTTCTCACTTTTTTCAGCAGAATTTGAAAGCTTTTTTCAGTTTTAAGTAATTCAACCCCATTATAACGATTTATCTTAGAAGTAGCATTTAGTTGACTACAGAACTGTTTTGAAGGGAATCAGGGTAGATATTGTTGTGATTGCAAAAGGAATAATTAGTGAATCTGAATGGAGAGAAGGCACTTGTAATATAATTCAAGTGGCAACAAGTCACTTCTCTCCCAAAAATACTCCACTAATGAGCCCTGAGGGTGAAGAGTCTCTAATCTGAAGACAATGAGGATTGGATCTAAAAGGACACAGGCTCTCAGCCACTATCTGCACACAGGGTTCACTGCGTTTATGAAAGGGATGATTCGACTGTCTGAACAATGAGACATTTCAGAAAAGGTGTGCTTCTATGGGTCTAAGCAGAACAATTACCGCCCATAGAACCATCTTCCAGCAACAAACCTTTTTGTTAGTTCCCACTGGTTTTATGTAGCTCTGAATAAAGCTTTATGTTTCAAGGAATTTTATGTAAGCACACATGCATACAGTTCGACCTCTCTCATGGTGTTTCTTAAAGTGTGGGTTAATTTCTTATGATGCTAATACACCACAATATTATTTGTGCGGTGCGGTCCTGAAGAAATAATCATCAACCTCACCAAGATTCTTAAACAGCTATCAGTAATGGCCAGATACACACAGACAATTTCTTTTTTAATGAAAGATTTAAAAAACACACCTGAAATATGGCTAAAATCTAACATTATATTTACAGACTGATATAAAGGTATTAGACAATATTCTTTTTATCATTATATGTATATAATAGTAAAGGGCTTGTGTGGCTACACACCTTCTTTTCGGCTTCATATTCGGCCCAGGCTGCCTTGCGATCTTCCTCACTCAGTGCCTCTTCCTCCTTGTGGTCCAGCAAAGAGTCATGCTCGTGGTAGCCGACGATATGATCTTTGTAACTGTGAAGGAGTTCTGCCAGGAAAGGATCCTGGGACAGGAGAAAGGGTCAAAGAAAGATGGGTCAGCATCCCACATGAATACATACACAGATGTAATCCTCTAATAATCACCATTAGCAACATGATTATAAAGCAAAACAAATGGGGAGTGGGGATCCCATAGGAAGTCAAACGGTGGGAGGAAGCATTTTGCTTTTGATCAACGCATGGAGGTGCATGAGCCAGACTGCTGCAAGGATAAATACTGCCCCAGGTGGGGAACAGTCTATCTGCCCATGTCTGAACACCGCGCTCTTTCTCATCTTAAAAATATCACAACCACAGAAATCGTTTCCTTGTGAGTCTTTGCGATTTTTGATGTTTCCCCATGTATGTTTTTGAAAATGGACTGTTGACCTTCATAAACATCTCTGTAAAGCTTGAGTAAAAAATGTACACTGAGCAATGTTAGAAAGTGCACCAATCATTGAAATCAGACATTCCCAGTGCACATCAATATTACTGTCAGAATTAGTTGTTTCTAGGCAGTTTATGGAATTGTTCAAGAAAATTGTCCATTTGTAGTGCCACTTACAGCAATGATGAGAATGCAACATGAACCATTTCAGTGGTTCATACATTGGCCATCTGCACAGGTAATCTGTTATGTCCAGACTTTTCTGGCAAAATCATTTTTTGCCTGAACAGTGGCACATTTCTCTTCAATTTCTCTCTGCAAGACATTTTTAAATGGCCTTGAATAGCTATCAATAAAAAGCTGACAGCAGTAAGTATTCTTCTTGCAAGTTTTCCTAAATTAAAACACTGAAACAGAGACACACATCATTGCTGGTGAAACAGAACATTCAAATGAACTGTAAGAGCTCTGCTCAGCTACATACATTTACGACTTGGCAAACAAAGCCAATTTACTTAAGACACGGTCACAGATGAACTCCGCTGGTGTGAAAAACGCAATCGGTTTCAACGCAAATGTTTTTTTTCTTGCCTTTTTTCTTCCTTTTGAATCATTTTCAGCACATTTACAGCTATTTCAGCCCAACTGCCTCTTAAGGTTTTTGATCACACCACCTCATTAAATACAATCCATATTCACAAACTCTATTTTATTTCACTCATTACTATGGCCATAAACATCTGCCGTGTGCTCCGTAGAAGACAGAAGGGTGTGAGGAGTGGGAAAATGGAAGCGTGACAGACTGCATCCATAAAAAGAAGGAAAAAAAGATACAGGGGCTTCAGAAAAGTGTGGAATAATTACTGTTTTCTTCAGATGTCTTGTTCCGATAAAAACATGCAACTTTGCCTTCATGACCTAAAAAGGGGAAAGTCTGTGAACAAAACTACCTTATCTACCACTTTAAAATGAAGAGCCTAATGCTTGTCTCAGATTTCACAAGACATTATGTTTGACATGCAGGTGCACAAACCAAAGAAACCAAGGGGTCCGGGGCAAGAGACTCAAGGAATGTGAAGGATTGAGATATTTGTAATACCTAACCTTAGCCAGGCAAAACGTACTCTACAGCTGCACACAAATTATACGCATAACCTCAGTGCCCTGATATAAACAGTCTGTGTCTGCTGAGCTCTTGATGTTTGGCACAGGGCCGGATGTCAGGTGTCCATCCAAGATCATTCGATCTTTTCTACCATTTACTAAATGGAGCACGCTAGGTGAGAACTTCTACGACGCACTGCAGTTCACACCTTCAGCTCTTTCATTCAAGTTAGGACAAATATCTAAAAATGGAGGGTTGAAGGCACCCACTCATTTAAGGAACATCTGGGGGACTTATTAAGACCAGCTCCTGCACCTAATTATCCCAACTAAAGTCTGTTCCTTTGCTCAACGAGACCCAGTCGGCGGGGGAGCCTGAGCGAAAGCAAATTACCACTTTCCCACCGATGGACAACTTTCAGGAAGTGTACACACCGACCCAACCGTGTCACTCAAAGTCTACCCACGGGTTTCAGCTCTATAATGGGCCTCCGAAGAGCCCGAGGCAAGGCCAGACCCCAAGCTGGGTGGCTCTCGTGTCTGGGACGCAGCACCCTTCTTTGTCATTAGAGTGGAAGTCCGCTAACTTCCTTTGTCTCCAATTAGTTTCTCTGAAAAGCACAAGAACATCCTAAAAGGGGTTTGGAATAATGACTGTTCATCAGGTCGGGGGAGGTTTACAGTGTTCCTTTGAAAACTTCAGAGACGAAGCAGTGAATCAGCGTAACAGATGTCCTTCATGATGGCATGATGTTTGGGTGAGCTGCAGCGCCACACAGGTTCGGAAGCAGTGTGTGCTTTAGACTGAGGGGTGGGGGTCTTCCCAGAAACACTAGGGAAAGTAACAAGGGAAAGGAGGGACTGGTGGGAATAGCTGCTATCGCCAGATCAGAGTAAGTTTAGTGTACTATTACAAAGAGAATCACTTATACCCTATATCTCGGAGGCTTTTAAGGAGATGTTAACTTAACTATCAGGTTTCATTAGAATTTTAATATATATAATATTTAAACAAATGAACAAGATCACATTGACAGTGTGGACTGCACAAATGGAGTAAAAACAGGACTTAACCTCCAGTAAATGTCTTGTCCACCTCAGGCAACTAAACATTATAGGTTTCATTTTACGTTATTTAATGATTGATTTTTTTCAATCCTTTTACCTAAATTTAGGACAAAGCCTGAATACAGATTAAAACTATTAAACTCCTAGATTAACTTCTAAAAATAGAACAACATGTAAGGATAATTTCTCTTTCAAAAACTTTGGTAATGGGGTTGAACAGTTGCTTTTTACAAATATGTTAGCATTATTGTGAGATGTCGTCTATTCCTAGGTGTCACGATTTCATTAATTACTCCTTTTTTTAACTGAAATGAGTTTTTTCCCCTAAAATAAAGTGAATAGTCAAAAATATGATGCACAATTTTAACAGTAAAAACTGGGGTAGCGGGAGTACATACATTTAAGGCATTGCAGACTAGCTATTTAAATAATGTTAGCTAATAGTTTAACACATCTAAGTTCTCTGTCCAAAGAACATAAGATGTGTTCACAAAAAAAAAAAGAAAAAAGGTGCAAGTGTCATATTCTTTTGGCTTATTAAAAAAAGATCAAGATGCAGACACATTACACAAGGTAAGGAAAGAATGATGGGCAGAGGTCTGCCAGGATTAGAAATATTTCCTGTGTTCCATAAACCTGGCGAGGGTACTGTGAGCAACAGAGATATGACTACAGGCTTTGAGGGATGACTGACTCATCTTCAGACGATTACAGGCAGCAGATTCCATCCATAACAGCTGACTTTCTGCATTCTGGTGCACATATGGCCAAATGTGGTCATCTGCAGCGCACAAAGGTAGGGCTCCACCTCCGATTAAAAGCTTGATAAAGAACAACAAGCTTCTCAAACATCAACTCTAAAGTGAGCAGCTCATGATAAAACATTGAGCACTTCAGCAGGAGGATGTGGGGGGCTGTATCTTCCCCAGTGTAAATCTTCTGTGGTACACAAGACAAATATCTGCACAGCTGTGTGCTTTTGGACACATTTGTTGGATGTGTACTGGATGCTTTTGCCTCCAATTAAAGGATCCCAGCATCATCGGTTCTGCAGTATAAAACTCTTCAGTAAACAAGGGTCATAGAGTGCAGCTGTGTGCTGTTGTGAAAGACTGGATGTACAATCGAAGGCCGATATGGTCTTGTAAAATCTTCAAGGGTTCTCTCTCGTGTGACCACGCACCTGTGCTTAGATAGGTCAGAACTATTAAGATGAGAGCTGAGCACTGTTCTTCCAATCCTCATCCCTCTAGGAAGACTGAAAGCTTTGGAAACCAGGCACATGAGTTAATAACAGCATCTCAATCCTTGTGAACATCAAAAGGTAATGTGCACACGACACAGGCCAGGAGCATTCAACTTCAGCAGTGCACACCCGATTCTGCAGTGTGAGGCAGATTTTAGGGGGTTGTAGTCTTGGATCACTTAGTGCATAAGCTCACGATGGCTGATCAATCACCATTGCAATTAAATATTAGGTCACAGATTAATGGACCCAATAGAAGCACAGAAATTGAAATTCAAAGGTGTTTGTGAGAGAGATGTTCAGAAAAAAATGTACACTTGCAAGGTAACAATATTGATATTTAACATTTCTGTCACATCATTCTTGTCTGATTTCTTTAGGATAGTTTTTTTGGAGTTACATTAACTGTAAAATACATGATTGATTATTACATTGTCCAAAAATGTAAACTATATCATTGCCCAGTGATTTGTAATCAAGCTTGGATGCACTATATAACCAACTTTTAATGCGAGTATACTTTATGTAATCTATACACTATATAGCAAATCCACGCAGCACGAATGTTTATATTGTGGCAAAATGTAAACTGTAGTTTCATGTTTTACACGCACACGCACGCACACACACACACACA